ACGAGCTCCTTCTTCAGGTGTGCTTCTCGTTTTCTACGCGGTTCTTCGTGGCGCGGCTGATCAAACGCATTGTGCGCAGGCGTTAAGCCCCACGATGATGTACCGAGCAACCTGATATGTTGCATAGGCTTGTACAATTCCTCACTATAACGTGATATTACCCGCAGCATAATACCAAACTACCCACTCTCAGTCATGTAAAACAACTGCAGCAGCCATTGTGGCGTCAAGTTGCGCACCACTGCAATTGCGCCCTCCGGACGGGTACAGCTAGAAGATATCTTCCGCATAAGGTAGAACTGGCTAAATAGCACCATTGCGTTAGGCTACGCGGCCGCCAGTGAGCCCAACTACGCTTTACACTTGACCACCAATAGCATGTTTCCCGATGTCATCCAAGGCAGCATCTCTCTCATTGCGTCCACCGCTTGTCTGTAACAGTGTACCTTTTCGTTGAGCAACAGAGCGTAGAAATTTGGGTACGCAGTCACAGTCATGTCTCTCAACTGCAGTTCTACGACATGCAAACGACCTAACTCGATTTTTACATCGCATCGGTCTACAGCACCCAGCAGCACCGCGCTGCGATCTACTCCAAGGAAGAGGGCACAATAAGCAACTACCCAACAACGCTTTCCTCCTTGACTACGTTGCATGTGCCGTCCTGCTCCAACCTATCCCTCAACTTGCATACATCCCTGCTTATCGCTTCCCGTGAGGTCCACGCTTAACGCTTGCTCATATTAAGTTGACAAGTAACAACAAATCTCATGACTGCTTTTAAATACGGACATCAGCCTCAAGACAGCCTACCCCTCCATCTCAGTCAACCGCCCGTTCTGCCAATGCCATCACAGGTTCAAAACGTAAAAATCATAACTATGCTGCTCGTCGACCTTGCCTCGTCTTCAATACTGCCCTGTTAGGAAGAGAAAGCCCGGCCATGCAGTCTACTCTCCTATAACTGTTAGGACATTTAGGGCGTGAACAAGCAGAAGCATACCACTTACCATGTTGTTTTGATTACAGTGAACGTAGCCCTAATGAACATATTGGTATGAGTAACCCTCCAGCAACTCGTCCCCCGGAATTTTTTGGTATCTTTGCTAGCCACTACTTATCGCATATAAAAGTCGTAGCAGTGGCCAGTTGCCATTGCTACACCACCACCTAAGTGTCCATGAATTAAGTCAAAAACGAAGGTAGTAAACGAGTAAACGTAACCATTTCGTCTACCTTGATGACGGCCACTAATGTCGCATCAAACTGCTTTACTACCAACTGTATTTTACTTGAACAACAGAAGCGTTGAACTTTACATCCAGTTATATTGCCATATTAAGGTATTTAACATGTACATTCTTAATTTAAACCCCTACATCATCAGCATCACTGCTTGTCAAGCGTTCCCTCTATAAAAGTTATACGTTCCGCTTAACAACCCGACTGCTTGGCGCATGTGATTCGATAGTAAGTAAAGCCACATCATATTACTGGACGCCATCCAAGTTAAAGAGTTCCTTTGAACGCTCCACGGGAAAGCGCCCACAGCCAAAAAAATCAAGGATTACGGCGCAATAAAAATTCACCCACCAAGTTCAATTACACATATACGGTTGGCGGCAGTCGGGTTCGGATTGGCCTGTCACTGTGGCCAGCCACAGGACGCCTGCGCCTACAGAAGGGTCATGGGTGGATTTCGCTGCAACACCCACAGCTCCAAACACACACTCATTGCAAGTGTAAACCCGAAGGAATAAGACCAAAAGGCATGTGGTCGGGAGCCACGTTTCATCAACGGAGCCGTCCCGCACTCCTTCACAGGCAAACACAAGCACGCTGTATTTGGCTAATCAAGGGCACACAAGACGGTGGCTGAACAGTAGTCCGCTCCACACTGAGTGCAGGGCACCGCTCTTCGAGCCCAGCACGGCCACAAGGACCGTGCAACCCGTCTGCTCTAGCAACTACCAACTGTCTTCTGAAGCCAGTATGAACGAGATAGTGGGTAAAAGACAGGCGGGTACCTTGTCAACATGCACAGCAAGCGCAGCCACACAGGAGATAGCAAGCAACAGTCAATCACTTGAAGCGACAAGATGAAATAAAATAAATACAATAATGCATGCAGATACGGTGGCATAACTCCGCAAACCTAGCATATGAATTACGTTGGTTAGCAACGAGTCCGCTGTAAGTGAAATATGTCCACAAGTTGTTTAAAATGCTACAAGCGCAACAAAATTTTCCAAGTTATATCTTCGATAACTTTGTTGCGCTAACTGCGCTTATAAGCGTAAGTAGCATAAGCATTGTGGCCAGTTAAAAGAAGATTATTCAGGTGGGCAGAACATACCAAACATCGGAATGAAGTTTATCCACCTTAAAATGACATAGTTTCGGTGTACGTTGGTTTAGCCCAACTGCGGTGAAGAAGCACCAAGGATGCAACATCAGCCTCAGCATGGGGCAACTTACACATTCACTAAGCTATATACATACACACAAATCTAGTAAGTTACTGGCTAACTTACGGCAGTTTTGTACAATTATCGGCTAGACGTGTTTCTATTACCGTGCTCCTGCCTGTGCCGGCGTGCCTCGCACTGCGAAGAATAAACCGTATAACAAACTTTTAGCCAAGCGTACCATGTCACCCTCATCTGCGAATAGGCCGAACATCGTGGGGAGAATTTCGGTCGGTCGTGGTTTTCTTCCGCGAAGTAGTGGCAAACGTACACAAAGTCCTCTGTCTACCTAACTAAGGAAAAATGATAGGCAACATGGTAGTCTTTTACGATTATTTACAAGTATTTTAGGCTTCTAAGTTCCCTAGTAAGTTGCTGTGCATATATTTCAGTGAACAGTGAGAAAAAGTAAGATTCCGTGCTACAAGTGCGTTTGCATGAATTGATATATATATATACATATATATAGCTTTGCACATAAATATACACATAGCTTTATTTAACAAGTACTATTCATTACTCTTTGTGGATTTATCATGATATCGAACGTAATCCGTCGATATTTACGGGTTTAGAGTGTCCTACGTGGAACAGAGGTACACGCACATATGCACACCAAATTTCTAGCTTTTTCAACATAAAACCTAAATACATAAATTTTATTCTCGGCTACGCGAGGCACACCAATGAAGGTATGTTCATCGGTATGGTCCAACAATTATGCAAGCGATGTGCAATAGTATAATAACAGATTAATACGCGTGGACCGTTTGCATCACAACTAATCTGGTTCGACTACTTATTCTGTGACACTGTAGGTATACACTAGTGACCAAGTCATAATTAGATAGTATCAATGAATCACGGGCAATGCTGATCTTCAGCAAAGCAAAGATTCCCATTTCATTAATATGAATCAATATCAGAAATCATTTCAGGGTAAAGAATTCTTTTCGGTAAATCTCATCAGACCCAAACTTTTACATAACAGTGATTGGGGATATAGCGTCAACTGGGGCTGGGATTGACTTCTTGACTGTTTGAATGACCAAAATCGATAACTTGAGACAGAGATAGAGATGGTAGACCAAGTAAACTAAATAAACATATGTACACAATTCTCATTAGTACAAGGTAATTAAGTAGGTAAGATGACGTCCAAATAACTAAGTAACGGTGTCCGTTGGCCAAGGTAGTAATATCGGCCGTATAAATCGTTTTTGGACACATAATTCCGGCTTTGGATGGTGAATGTACATAGCCTCGGCGATGGCTAAGAGCTGTTTGCGGAATCCTTGGGAGAAATGTTCAGGTAATGAGTAAATGACTTTGAAGTCATTCTCCGAAGCTGTATGGCCACATTCAAGGAGGTGCGACATGATAGAGCTGTCTGAAGACCTCATTTCGCCTCTGTAAAACCATGCCGGGATGTGTTCACGAACCCTCTGAGATGGGCGTCTCGTCGTGCGACCCACGTATCGTGCACCACAGGAGCACGAGTACTGATAAATGATCATTGAACGGGTCAATGGCGGTAGTCTATCCTTCAAGGGTTTTGTAAGCAACGGCTTATTGTGAAAAACGATTCTCAGGCGGGCCGCGAAATAAGTTTTCTCGACAGCATCTTTCAGGCGTCTGGATAACATATCAGCTGCAGAATGGCCCTTAAAGGGTACATGTATGGAAAGCTCTTTCTTAGGAGCAATGCTCCTAGGTGGCTTTCGATTACGTTCCTTCAAATGTTTCATGATAAATTTATCCGGATAGCCATTTTCCCTGAGGGCGTCGCTGATTCTCTGTAGTTCTTCGTTGACGGTATCCGGTGTACAAATACTGCGCGCCCTGAAGGCGAGAGATCTGATTAAACTCCGCTTGTGCTGTAGTGGTACTGCGCTGTGGAAGTTAGTGTACTGCCCAGTCCATGTGTGCTTTCTGTGTACCTTTCTGCTGCATGATCCATCGCCTCGGTTTTTAGCGAGATGACCATGTATACCGTGGAAAACTGAGCAGAATTGAAAAACACGTATACAACCGTAAAGCGACCAAAAAAGGCAAAACAGGGTGTGAAACGGGATTAAAAAGGGGAACAACCGCAAAAGTTACCAATAAGCGTCAAGGAGACGCTATGTCCAGTAGCACTTTAATCGATCCAAGTTATCCTGGATCAGAGAAAATTTGACAATAGTCAAATTTCGCTTCACATGTTTATGCACACCGTTTTGCACAGTATTTTAGCTAAAATCCTCGATAAGTATGGCACGCCAAAAACCGAGTTACCGCGTAGAACTCACAGTACACAGTCAGTCTCATTTCAAACAGTGCGAAATTCACAACAAATAAATCTTATCAATCACTAATTCCTTTAAACCCTTACGCACAAAGCTTCACAAATAAATCTCTTGCATATCCAGTTATGAAGGCATCCCAATTTGGCCTTTTGCTGTACAATAATCCAGGGGGAATAAAGATCGTCAATGGCTGAAAAACGCAGGGAAGAACCGATAACGATGATACCACGCGTCACAGTGGTCACAGCGCACGAGATAAGTCAGGGCAAAACACAACGTGCACACGGCAGCGTGTAATTGGCAAGAATCCAAAATTCAGGTAATTCAAACAAAAAGGGGTTAACTGTACACAAACCGGAATAGGAAGTACAACAATAATAATTACTATTGTTCTTTAAAGTCATTGTCATCTGATAAACAGTCCAAATGTCTTGCTTGGTTGTCAGGCCGCCGATCTGAAAGGGAAAAAGAGAAGGTCAAAAAGAGTTCGATCATTGGCACTACACCATCCCCCTCTCCGAGAGGCGTCGTCCTCGCCGCCCTAACTAGTAATCGATACGTGGGGCTCTGTGGTCGTTACTTCCACTTCTGTTAACGCATCTGGTGGGTCAGTGTCGGTTACCGGACGCTGAGACGATGAAATGGGATGAGTACTGAGAGTTGCCGGTTTGAGACGATTGAAATGGACAACAATTGAACGGTCGGTGTCTTCACCTTGTCTGTAAATTCGACAGGTAGAATCAGTATACACTTCCTCGACCACGAATGGACCGGACCACTCCTTGTGCAGCTTCGCCGGAACGCCCTGAGATGGATTCGGAGTGTGGAGGTAGACTTGTTGTCCAGGTTGAAGTGGACAGCCGTGCACTTTCTGGTCATAGTAATCCTTTTGACATCGACGGGCAGCTCCTAAGTGCTCTCGCGCAAGCGAATAAGCTTTGGTCAGGTCCCGACGTAGACGAACGGCATAGTCTGTGGCAAGGAGCGAATCAGCAGCCGCGGTTGGCACAGTCAAATCAATTGGCAATCTCATTTCGCGCCCAGTTACCATGAAGTGTGGAGTATTATCAGTAGACGAGTGAACGCTGGACCGATAGGACAGGAGGCACCGTGGAAGTGCAATATCCCAATCGCGGCTGCGGTGTTCCTCTGTGAACGCTTTTAAAAGAGCCTTCAGCGATCGATTCGTGCGCTCTACTTGGCCATTGCCCTGGGGATGGTAGGCTGTTGTCCGAGTCTTTCGAATGTTTAGTATTCGGCAGAGTTCAGACACTACCAAGCTTTCGAAATTAGAACCACGATCAGAATGAAGTTGCTCAGGTGCCCCCACCGTGAAATCCAGTGGTCAAACACAAGCTGAGCTGTGGATCTGGCGTCAATGTACGGGGTTGGTATTGCCTCACACCATTTGGTGAAATAATCGACCAAAACAAGTATATACCGATTCCCTCGTGGCGTTTCAGGCAGGGGTCCAAGGACGTCCACACCTACGGTTTCGTTGGGATATCCAATCACCATGGGCTGTAGGGGGCCCTGTTCATCGTTTGTGGTTGCTTAAAGCGGATGCACTCATGGCAGGCGTTACAGAAGTTCGCAATATCTCGACGCTGTTGAGGCCACCAAAAACGCAAACCTGCTGCTTGCTCCATTTTCCGTTGTCCCGCATGCCCCAACTCCCTATGTAGCTGTTCGAGTATCCGTTGCACCATGGACTGTGGAACGATAAGTCTGCTAGGGTAATTCGGACCAAACTGGTAGTACATGACACCATCCAATAGCCGAATTTTCGACCACAGAGACCACAAGCAGTGCGCTTCCCAACTAGATCCAGCCATTTCTGCCTTCGTAGGCTTCACACTCCCCTGTCGTAGGCGCTCATAAATCAACTTGGTCTCTGGGTCTGTACTGTGAGCTGATGCCCAGTCTGTTGAATCCGAATGGTTCAGAGACACAACGGCAACGTTCGAGGTTGAACACGACGGACAATCCCCATGTGCCCTAGACGGCCGGCGAGACAGGGCGTCTGCATTTCTGTGTTGCTTCCCGGGGCGATGTTGACATTCAAAGTCGAAGGCTTGCAGTTGTTCTTGCCAACGCGCAACTTGCCCTTCGGGTTCGCGAAATTCCCGCAACCACCGGAGCGCCTGATGATCAGTGCGGACTATAAAGTGTCGACCCAACAGGAAATGTCGAAAATGTTTAACGAAGGAGACCAGGGCAAGCATTTCTTTCCTAGTAGTGCAATAGTTTCGCTCCGTTTTTGTCAACTTGCGGCTAGCGTAAGCGATAACCCGTTCCATACCATCCCCAGAGACCTGTGATAACACAGCTCCGATACCAACCTCACTAGCATCAGTGTCCAAAATGAATGGGGCGGCTTGAGGTGACACATCCGGGAAGACAAGGATTGGGGCGCTGGCCAAAGCATGACGTAACTCATCAAAAGATTCCTGGCACTGCGGGCTCCAGTGGAAAGGCCGACCCTTCTCCGTGAGTCGGTGCAATGGTGCTGCCATATCCGCATAGTTCTTCACGAAGCGTCTGTAGTAAGAAGCCAGACCCAAAAAGCTCCGAACCTCTTCAACGGACTCGGGAATAGGCCAACTTAAGATATCCTGTACTTTCGAAGGATCGCTCCGGATCCCACAATCGCTGATCACGTGGCCTAGATATTTAACCTCTCTCTTCAGCAGGTCGCACTTAGACGGCTTCAACTTCAATCCTGCGGAACTAAGGCACTGCAGCACTGTTTCTAGATTTGTGAGATGTTCATCGAGCGTACGTCCATGAACTATGACATCATCCAGGTATACAAGACATTTGCTTGGCTGCAGATCTCTGAGTACAATGTGCATCAGTCGCTGGAAGGTCGCTGGTGCATTAGCCAACCCAAACGGCATGGTCTGGAACTCATATAGTCCAGTGGGTATAACGAAGGCAGTTTTCTCAATGTCCATAGGGTGTACTTCGACTTGCCAATAACCTGAGGCGAGATCCAAAGTAGAGAACCAGGTGGCGCCATGCAATGATTCCAGAGTGTCATCAATCCGAGGTAGAGGGAAAGAATCTTTTCGTGTAACATCATTAAGTTTCCTATAGTCCACACAGATGCGCAGTGTTCCATCTTTCTTTTTGACTAATACAATAGGGGCAGCCCAGGGGGATCGCGAAGGACGTATGATATTATCTTTTAACATCTGATCCACCACTTTCTGTAATTCCTGTCTATACACGGGTGGGACACGCCTGGGCCCTTGCCGTATTGGTGGAGCATCCCCTGTTTCAATCCGATGCTTAAGTACGCTCGTTCTACCCAAAGATGTACCTTTCCACGCGAACGCGTGCTTGTGTGAACGCAGTAAATTCTCCAGGCGTTTCCGAGCTTCACCGTCGACAGTAGGGCTAACAGACGAAAGCAATTCCGATATCTCACCTTCAACATCCACGGTGCTAGCACCCAGAGTAAAAAACTTTTTCACGTAGCCATTATTAGGTTTGAAGTTTAGAGGGAGCAGCTTGCCACGCAATGTCAAAACTCCGGAGGTTAGATCGATGACGCATGCATACCGACTTAAGAAGTCAACCCCCAGTATCGCGTCCCATGGAATTTGATCAGCTATGTAAAACTCATGAGAAAGAAGCTCTTGACCGACCAGCAAATCTACGGAAGCAACACCATGAGTAAGCAGAACCATCCCATTTGCCACTCTGATCTGACGCCCGGGACTAGTGACTACTGTGGGGGACAAGAAACAGGATTTTAAAAGGCTACACGCTGCACCGGTGTCAATGAGGGCATGCAATCGCTGAGTATTGATTACTACAACAACAGTTGGGGATTCACAGAACTTAGAAGACACCAAAGGTACACAAGGAAGTTCTGACTCACCGTCAATGAATCGCACTCCCGGTGATTGTTCGCGCCTTCGGAAATTGCGGGGGCGTCGTACTGACTTCTCATGGGGTGAATTCTGGCACTTGGGACAATAACGACGGCAAGTATGTGAGCTTAGGCTGTGAGGCGGTTCAGTCCGGTTCATCGTCGGCGGCACACAACTAATAGCCATCAGCTTGTCGACCTCCTTCGGACGCCTATCGCGGATCACCTCTTCTTCGCGCGCAAGCCGCGCCGCGGTCGCTAAGTCTCTCGGCGGCTCTCGTATAAAACGCTCCGAAGTGCGATCGTCGTTGATGCCTTCAATAAACCGCTCTAAAATGAAGGCCTCTCTTTCTGTTACTGATTTCCCTGGAAAAGCCTTGGCCGATAGCACCCGAAGGTCCCACAAAAAGGCATCGGCCGACTCTGCCTCTCGCCGAAACCTCTTCCAGAATATGGATCGAGTAGCCGACCCGTGCTCCTTGTCTGGAAAAAGGGCCTCTAGTTGATTCCAGATTTCTCCGACAGAGGCATCAGGGCGAATGTCAGTCGATAACAAAATTTCCTGAACTCGATCACTAAGTGAATTCATGATAACCGACGATTTGTGTTCTTCGGGAACGCAAGCCAGAGACATTTCTACGCGTCGCCGCCAGTTGCATAGGTTAGTGTCAACATCAAAAACCGGTGGGGGACGGAGAGACAGCTGCCAAAGGCCCAGTTCTAACGGTGGCTGTCCACAATTTGACGGATGTGCAGCAGAAACACCCTGTTCCTCGTTCTTCGGTTTATTTGCGCGGGAGGCCATGACGATATCCCACCTCTGTCACCAATTATGTAATGCACAATAATCCAGGGGGCACGAAAGATCGTCAATGGCTGAAAAACGCAGGGAAGAACTGATAACGATGGCAGCACGCGTCACAGTGGTCACAGCGCACGAGATAAGTCAGGGCAAAACACAACGTGCACACGGCAGCGTGTAATTGGCAAGAATCCAAAATTCAGGTAATTCAAACAAAAAGGGGTTAACTGTACACAAACCGGAATAGGAAGTACAACAATAATAATTACTATTGTTCTTTAAAGTCATTGTCATCTGATAAACAGTCCAAATGTCTTGCTTGGTTGTCAGGCCGCCGATCTGAAAGGGAAAAAAGAGAAGGTCAAAAAGAGTTCGATCATTGGCACTACACTATGCCAGGAGGTACAAATAATCTAGGGATCTAGAAAAAATATGGTGAAATAGTGCACTATAGAGGTGGAATGTTATCTATCAGCAGGTGAAGATATCCAAAAAACATCAAATATACATTCATTTAAATAAATTTAAAGTTGGTATTTCTCATAAAAATACAATTGCAATATAAAGGAGACGCTTTAATTTCAATTCTAATATGAAAAAGTAATTTTCGCAATGGATGGAAGCGTACCTCGATTTATTGGTGCACCGTATCATAAACTTTTAGATGGCAATCTCGGGCGTTATGGTGTAACTGTGCGCTTGTCCTTATGTGTAAGTGCTATTAACTGGTAATTGAAATGGTAATGAAAATAACCTGCTATATATTACATAAATACTGGATGGCATTACGGATGCACAAATATATCTACGAGTGTATGTGTACGTAATGCTTATCCGTATATATATATGTATATCATAGGAATTGAAGGCGGCTGATCGGCGTGCATGGCGTGAGCTGATCACAAAGGCATTTGTAGAGGTGTAAGAGAAAGCCCTCATGCATGCAGAGAAGAAGCGGCAAGCCCGGAAGCTGCAAGCACCGATGGGTTGCTCTCCATTGACATCAAGCTCATGGTGCCTTAGCACATGCCGTCACGAGTGCCTGAGTCAGGCAAGCTTAGTGTGCCATGAGCGAGGCCAGTCGGAACCACCACCGAAGCGACGACGGGTCCTGCAGAGAACGTAGGCAGAACCGGCGCAGCGTTTGTAGGTACGCTGCATTCGATTTACTAACCGCTTGCTTGCATGCTTAGGCCATTTATTTTAGGTGGTGGGTTTTCAATTTTGCCTTAATGCTTTTCTTTCTCATATAAATGTCTACCTGTATGCACTTCTATAAACTTGCACACGTCGCTTAAGTCAATTGTTGTTAATTTCGATAACATTTTCGAGTTCGTGTCATTTCCGTAAATTATACCTTCTGAACCCTGAACTTTTATCGGATCCTTTGTTAACAACTTATTTCATATGCTCATAAATTTAAGTTTATTTTCACTTTTCCTCATTCATTACTCGATTTCTTTGATAGCTTTCTCTCAAGTGATTGGCTGTTGCTTGATATCCCCGGTGTGGCTGCGCTTGGTGTGCATGTTGACAAGGGCAAAGCTGAAAGCCCACAACCTGAAATAAATATACTTAGCGTGCAAGCCCGCGGTTAGTAAATCGAATGCAACGTACTTACAAACGCTGCGCCGGTTCTGCCTACATTCTCTGCAGAACCCGTCGGCGCTTCGATAGTAGTCCCGAGTGGCCTCGCTCATGGCTCAATAAATAAATAAATAAATAAATAATTTATTCTCGTCACTGCGAGGCACACCATCAAGGGCGTGATCATGGTAGTACAGACATGTATGATCAGCGATTGCACAAATTAGTACATTTTGACCAATAGCATGGGAATTTATGTGTGTGTTGAGATGTAAAACTATGTTTAACTGTGTATTTGGAAGGAGACATGTTGTGTAAGTAGGTAAATGTGACTGTGTGGGCTTTTGTTTGTTGTGTTCGCCATCAAAGAGGGAATCAATGGAAAGCTTTGAATCAGAAGACGTCCGTGATGTGTGAATGATCCTCCGGAAAAATGAAGAGGCAGTG